TTTTATTGGAGTTTATAATACAGATTCACACGCTCAAATTTGTATCGTAAAAGAATTATTTATACACAGCATTTTTTTTTGTGTTTATACTATTATTTTATTTAATAATATAATATGCATACACAATTTATATATAAAAGTAGAATTGCAATATAAATTTTTTTAATCCATCGTTATTGATAATTTTAAGGACAGAATTACACGTTCTTAGTAATTTACCCAAACAGTTAATGATAAGAAACATTATTTAATTATTTGAGATACACGTACTTATATAAACTTATGTATATATCATAAATAGACTTTAGGTTGGAGTCAATATGTCAAACTTTTATTAGTAAATTATAAACCGATGTGATATTAGCTCAAAATAAACTCCAATAAAATGGCAATTCACAAGGACCGATTTTGTCTAGACGGGCTCACTGTCATTTCTGGTTATTCTGTGGTACTAGTTGTGGTGGATGACTTCACTTGAATAAACTTCAGTGCACTGAAGTAGGGCCAATTCGAAACATACACTTCATCAGTCGCCTGTCCCGATGTTTTCTTCTGCAGCTTCTTTAATTCTGCATGATATTGAATTCTTAAATTATGCAGTTTTCGCTGCACTTCAGAGACATCAACTTTCAGCTCACTTTCACCCTGAAACCGGTACCGATTTATATTTTAATAAAAAATTGAGGATCAAATATTAATCTTTTATTAATTATTTTCCTTGCAACATGGATAATTAGCAATCCACGATACGAGTTATTAAGAATTATACAAACACTGCACACGCTAACTTGCTCTAAACGGTCGAGAAATATCTCCCAATGTTTGATCGGGTGACAGTGCGAGTGCGAGCGCGAACACCACCTGTGTTTCTTGTTTAGACCTACAAGTTCATGTGTCAGACACTTCTGTAGCCGGCTCGCGACAGCAGTCGCGACACTGCTCGCAGCTCTGTTTACACTAGCAATTTTGACTGTCGGACAGAAAACCTCCGCAAATTCTCGCAAGTGTAAACCCAGCATTAGAAACGACCAATTTCATAAGGAACTTAACATTCCAAAAATAACTGATTTTATCAGAAATCTTAGGGAAAAGTTCATTAAAAATTTAAAAAACTGAAGGAGCAACATATTATAATCTTGGACAGAAAAGCATCCTTCACTTAAAAGAAAACTGCCACAAGATTTAGTCACCAATAACATAAGTAGTGAAGAGGAGACAACTGATTAACCTCATACAGTATAAAGAAAAAAACGTTAATATTAAATATTATAAATATTGTGTATAACATACAAAAATGTTAATCCAATAAAAGCTGAAATTACAAAAAAAAATAGTAGTCGTGGACAAAGTATAGTATTCTACTCACATATAATGAGCCATTATTCACTCAGGTTAATTACAGAGATAATACTTAACCTTAATTAAGCCCTCATTATATGCTCGTATAATAATATACTATTATTTCACAGAGGCGGGCATAACAGGTGGTAGTTGTTTTAGTATCCATATCTGTCAAAATTTCCCTTAGTAACATATTAATTAGTTTCGATTCATTAATTGAGCATGTATACTTGATGCTAATTGTGGTGTTCCCTGGTGGCACTTTAAATTTTTATTACGCGTATTATTCATTAAAGATATGTTTTCTATACAGAATATTTTCTCCCTTCATATAATGAAAGTTTTATCTGAAACTTTTTTTGATAAAATGGATGGTATATGAGTTATTTAAATGACTCGCCCGGTATATCATCGATTTTATTTCTTGTTAACCCAAATAGTTTAGTATAAAAAATTGTTTATTACTTTTAACTTTTTTGGAAAATGGGTCAACTTTGTAATTTTATATGGAACATCTTTTTAAAAGATGTCAATGGTTACACTCGGGATTTAGAGCATATTACAAAAAAACTTTTATAATAAAAATTGTAACACTCGGGAAACGGACCATGTTGCAAAACAACTTTTGGAACGAAAGTCACAAAACGACATATTAAAAATATGAATCCAATCATTTTAATGGTTAATTTATGTAAATTATTTTCGTACCATTTTTTGAAATAGCTATTCCATTTTAAAAGAATTTAAACAAAAATTGTTTTAAAGTAAAATATCTTAGATAAAGAAAAATTTTGCTGTACTATTTTTTAATCATCTTGTTATCTTATTTAATGACTTTTTGGAAGTATAAAAGCCAAACGATTTAGATACAGAATTAGTTTTGGGCGAAACTTGAATATATACAATTTTTCTCCAGAAAAATAAAAAATGAAATTCAACATTTTTTTGTTACTAACTATTTTGTGTGTTTCTAGCATTCAAGGTTTGATTACTTTTACGATTTCTTATTTTATTTTTAATGGTTACATATCTTTTTCATTAGCTGCTTCTGTTGATACTTGTAATAAAAATCTGTCTAAAAAGGATCAAGGTAAACCAAAAAAACGTTAATTAATTTAGTAAAATCCAGTAATTTAATTTATTTTTTCAGANTTAATTAATTTAGTAAAATCCAGTAATTTAATTTATTTTTTCAGACGTACTGGAAGCATGTGTTGAAAAACTCCAAGAAAGTTTGCAAATTCTTCGGGGCACTAGTGAGTTGTTTTTCTTTAAGATTTTTTTAATTAATAAATAAATAATTATTTAAAAATTACATTTTTTAGGGAAAAATTTAATTTCAGCATCTGAGAAAGGATCAAAGAATGGTGTTAAGGTCATAAATCTAATAAGTAAATATTTAAGTAAAAATTTAATTTATAAGAAATGTTCTTCTTGTTTTTAATTCTTAGTCGACAATATACAAGGACAAGATGATTTGGTCATAAATATCCGTAAGTCAATATTATTGCTATAAAGTATATTTAATGAACTATTTATAATTTATTTGTAGCCAAATCTGCAAAAGAATTAGAAGATTGTCTCAAGTGTGGCTTAGTAGAACAAGCTATTAAGAAGATAACATGTTGCCTAGAAAGTGCTGGTACGCAAACGAATTACCTCTTTAATTAAATTTAATAAAATGATGATTCGTTATTGTTTTTAGAGGGTCTCATCAAAATTTTGCAAACACAGTTAGGCTCGGAATTAGTTAATAACGTAATGGGGGATGACACGATTAAGTTAATTGATTAATTAATGGGTTATACAAACTCTAAAGGGTAAAATAATCAATCTTTCGATTGAATTTATTTTTAAATTTTCCCTTTTATGTTTTAGATTCATTAGATTGCAATGCAACGAAGAAATAAGGCGAATGTAGGAAATGATGGAAAACCAAATTAAAATAATACAATTTATTTTATTGTATCCAATTTCAGAAAGTTATAAAATAAGTTTGGTTTTCAATAAAATATTAAAAATAAAGTTTAATTTATGATTTATATTCACATATTTTATAAACTAACACAACAACATTAAATTTATGGTGTTTCAATTTCGCTTTGGACCAACAACTATCGACCGGTGTGAAGACAGCAATAAAACATAGCAGTAAAAATTTCCGATGATACCCGAACGCCCATAGACGTCCGTAACCGGACACACGGGGGCTCAATTTTTTCGAACAAAAAAAAAATTAGTATATTAAAATCTAAAAAATAATGGTAATGGTAATTAAAATCTACTCCAGCCAATTATCTATGTAGTGTGCCATGCACCACACAAAGTGTGCCATGTAAAATTGTTTTAATAAATGATTTGTTATATAATTTACAAAAGCAACAAAAAAAAACAAATTAATAATATAACAAGTTAATGCAGTAGAAAATATTGTATAAATTCAAATATTGTACATGATAAAATAACGATCATCGTACAATCTATATTGTAAATGTTCATAATTACCTCTCAATGCTTCACGATAAAATCAAAAATTGATTACCAACACTAACAAAGTCTACCGCCCGTTTTATAAATATTGATACCTATCTCTACAACGTGAGTAGGTAGCCTAGTGAAAAGTTGAATTAAAATGAAATAGTACGATATATTTCTTGAAAGCACAGTATTGTGGATCCTAACGAAGAACATTTCTAATACACCTGACCTACAAAAGCTTCTCTTTATAGCACCAAGATGGCGCCATCATCAATTTACATCTCATAATTACAAGGTTTTACACGCTAATACGAGGAGTCTCAAATATTTACTGTTAATCTGCTATTCTTGGGTCATAAAAGGGTCCTTCTTTGATGTCATTCTTTGTTCTTTTGCAAAATCGGACGAGCGCCTTTCTGCTCGGCTAATACGAATCTCGTTGTTCCCCAATTTTCACTTCTCACATCTATAACTTTAAAAATTGCTAAAAATCTGGTGTTGAAGATTATCACTGGCAACTTCAATTGTTTTCGCAACACAAAATAAAATAATAAATGTTTAGGATCGAAATTTGAAATAATCGTGTTTAACGATTCTATGATTCTGCATTCAAACAACTTTCGAGCTTTCCTGACAGTGGTGGATTTTCATCACTGGAACTTTTGTGGTTCGTGATTCGGCATGTCTTCGGATATCCTTCTTAACATGTTTTCATATCATTTATAATTTTTAAGTTATTATAAAAGTTTTAATTCAGAAACGTCTATTTAGAGGATTAGGGGATTTTTATTGTTTGTAAGTAAAATGACTAGTTGCAAAAAATTCTTTATGCACTATGTTCTTTTGATGTATTTTGAACAATTTTTGTTAATATCATTCATAACATTCACATCCACATCTTTTAATGCATGAGATGAAAATGATTTTGTACTTTAAATGAGCTAGGTTAATAATAATTACAGATGAGTTATAATCGCTTGCGGATAATGTTATATTGGTTCATTACAAACAATTTTCATCTTCAACATTCTTTCCTAGCATTTCTAGTTTTTCAGTTATGATTAACTGAAAAACACAGCTTTAACACATTAGCTTGTGAGGATTTTTTTGTTTGCATATTGTTTTAATTTTTGTGTTATAAATCATTTTAT